ATTGGTGTATACTTAGAAAACAAAATTTCCTTATTAGGGTGGCAGTAAAATTGAGGGAGTTGTCATCGGAGGAAAATATAGCCCTGCAATTTCAGGATTAAAATATGAATTGGAGCATTCTCTAGATGCCAGCTCCTAGGTCAAAGACAAAAATGTCCTCTCTGTTCAAGATTTCTGTGCTCTATAAAGTCTTAGCAGCATCTGCTTTTCTGTTGTCCAGCAAGGCTGAGTTCTGAACACTGGTGTGTACTTAGGCTGAAAAACAGCAGGATGTAATACTTTCCACATTAATCATGAGGATTACAGACAGTGATGCCAGGCACAGCTAATAGATCTGGGAATGCACAAACACTCCAAGTTGGAGCTGCACTCAAAAATCATCAGATAAAGGCTGGATCTGAGCAGGAGGGACATCCTTTCTCTACACTCACCACTAGTAGGTGTTAGTGGGTGCCATCTCCGGCTCTGAGAATGGAGAACAGGAGAGGATGAATAAAGAAAAACGAAGCAGAGATTGAAAAACTATGAGAAATCAGCCATATCATCATGACTTCCCCTTAACACACACAGCCACACATGCATGCAGCCATTTCTAATTGCTTTATCAATACCAGCTTTGCTGACCATTTAAAAATCCAACCTATGCCTTAAAACAGGTAGCGTACGTGCCAGGAACACAAATATTCACCAGAGCAGCAAAACACAAGACCAATTCAACAGAGCAGATCATACATTTTTAACCTCATAGCACGGCAGGAAAATGCTTTAAACCTGTAGCAAGTCAATGAGAAATCTTCCCCACTGGTAAGCACAATAGCAGCCATCCATTTCAATAGAAGTTTATCAGCAGTGAAACCTGACCGAGATAAATGACGAAGCTGTTGAGCCACAGCCTGCTTCTGCCTGCTGCAGGCTGCCAGATAAAATGGGAACAAAAGCTCCCTGCTGTACCCCCTACCAGTCTCCATTAACCCCTGCTGATGCTTTATTATCGTCTGGGGGCTCCAGAACAGCATAGCATGAATCAGTGGGTAAAAAATAAATAATAAAAGCTCCTATGTAGCACAAACAAACCAGAAATGTGGCTTGTAAGAACGGTATTCGGTTTGGTACCCCTGCAATTAAATAAGGGTTCTGAGGAATCCCACATGCAAAGGCGAGAAAAATGAGGAAAGCACAAAGTATGTAAAATCATGTATGAAAAAGGCAATAAAGGCAAGTACACAAATGCATTTCTCCTGCTTTTACCCCCCTTTTCAACTATACACAAACACATGAAGCAAAGCAGGGACCGGGGATTTTATTCTGATGCCTTCATGTACAATTTCAAGTTTCATCTTTGGAAACTGTCACAAACACCTTTGTTTGCTGCACCTATGCCAGTGTCCTTTCTTCTAATGTAAGTTTAAAACATTTACTGAAGGCCAAAGCATCTTCTATTACACAGATATTAAAAAATGGATGGTGAGGGCATGGAAAGTGCAGCAAATCTCCTCAAGACTCCTGGTTTCCATTGGAGAGTAGGCAGTGTGAGCAAACTTGAAATGTTAGAATGTTAGTAGTATTTTAGCTATCACAGATTAAGATAGCAATGCACATTTAGCAAAGGCCACCTGGTTAGTTAACACCAGAGGCTCTACCAGTCCAGCTGGCCCTGCCCAATCAAAATCTCCACTGTAGAAGGGGAAAAAGTCCTTGTGGTGCCTATGAGGAATGTGTTAGGGAAGAAAGTTTGGATCAGCTCTGCTTCAAGCAAAGGCAAACCCATCTGTGGGGTTGTTTTTGTTCAAGACTGGGGTGCACTTGGTGAGTGATGGGCACCTCAGGGGGATTTATTTTTTGGGTGAGAACTGTGTGTGATGTTGAGCTGTATAATATTGGTTGCTGAATGACACTGCCACTGCATGCCATAACTCCATGGACAGTGAGGGTGGACTGCTCCAGACACACCAGTCACGAGCTCCTGATGTAATTTGCAACCAGCCAACATCACAGGAGTCCTCTTGTCCTGGAAGACACTTGGGACAGATAGAACCCACAGCCATGGACTTAATTAACTCAACAGACATCTTGGGGGGATGGCCATTGACTACAGAAATGAGAGCTGTACTTTGTGTGTGTATATATACATGTATACATGATGTACATGGTATAAAATAAGGGGTAGGACATGTCCTGCTTCTGGCCAGGACAGGATTAATTTTTGCAGTAGTCAGGAGAGGGCATGGCCAGGACCTGGAGGTTATTCTGTACCCCCTCAACTCATGCTGGGAATGGGGAAAAGGGACTCTCTTTCAGGGAGAAGGGGTTCCTGGAACCAACCTGGAAGAGGAAGCCATCCAGTTTTTTCTATTGTCAGGGATAGTCTGAATGAATCATTTCTTTCTGTCATTACTATTGTGCTGTTACTGTCAGTTGTCTTATCTCCTCGCTGTTTTCAGTAAATTATTCTTATCTCAACCAGTGATCTTTGCTTTTTGTGCCTCCAATTCTCCTCTCCATCCTGTTGGGGGAAGTGAGAGGTGTGTGGTTTGGAGAGTCTCGATGGGAGCACTAAACTGGGGAGCCCCATTCCTTAATCATGACAGGTGTGGATAAAAATAAAATCCTATTTAGACTGTACCATTCTATTGGATGGACACCCCCACTTCATCCTACAGAGCCCTTCCATGCTTTACTCACTGCAGAAGCCACACTGAACATGTGTGCTGATCACCACCAGGGTCACTGATTTTCAGCCCTTTCTGCCCCTCTGAAGGGCAGTTAGCAAGCAGCAACATTGCATCTAAGGAAGAACATGACAGAAGGGCCTCAGCACAGGAGAAGAGAGACTGTATGAGTTCTATCCAAAGGTCCACCCATCCCAGTAGCCTTTCTCAGAGAATAATCAACACTTACAGAACTGCATAACAAAGGAAATGCATACAGAAATTTTTCAAGAAGATTCCTTCCTTCTACAGCAATTTACAGTTCAGTAATTTGTAGTTCAGAGGAAATTTTATTTGCCACTAAATTGCAGTGGAATTCCTTTCCACAAACCTACCCAGTCTTCCTAGTAATGTGTAAGCTTTTAACATCTACAACCATTTCCACAAGTTACAACATCAGCTTTTGTTTGTTCTGCACCCACCACCTAAAATTAGTTACAAGGACCAACATCTTCTGTCAAAAAAAGTGTCTGTGTGGGAAGTGTTGGCCACCTTACGCAAAATTTTATATATCTGTGTCACATATGCCTAAATGAACACCTTCAGGAATCAAAAAATACAAACCCACAACCTCAAACAAAACCAAAATCCAAAAGCACCGAAGAAAAACTGTGGGAGAACTTTTTCTCTGTTGTTTTAAAAGTTTTAGCCCAACTGTTTCAAGATTTACTGCAAGTTGATAAGAGTTAACTTTTTATAAAAAGCAGCAGCAGTAATATAACTAACACTTGGAGACTCATAGGAAAAAAATAACCAGTAATTCTGAAATCTTAGAGTGATAAATCTTTTCTGGTACCCTGCAGAGATGGTACATGACAACCTGGAACAAACTCATTTTGCTGGCTTACACTGATTTAAGAACAATGAAATGGAAATTGTCCCAAAAAACCTTTGTGCCAAATCAGATATCTTCTGTCCTGCCACAGACACTGTAATGTTGATATAAACATTCTATGATGTGTTCTAGCCAGTTTGACAGAATTGCAGCAGTGAGCTCATTCCTGATCTAGATGAAAATTTCTGCCACAAACTGATCCAGCACTGAATAGAATCATTATTAATGAACAAGAAATCTCAGTGTTCTGGCAAACATGAGGGTGAAGAATGCCTAACTTTCCTTTTGCAAAACACAATCAAGGCTGAGACAGTATCAGGGCTGAAGTGCTCAATAAATAAATCTCTACACACCCCTCAGACTATTTTCTCCTCTTTTCTCAGAGCTGGTGTAATATTGGGTGAATTACAGACTATAAATCTTGTTTTCAGGACAAAGAAAACTCTGCTCCCTGAGGCTCTCTCAGGGAGTGCTTCAAAGCAACTCACCTTGCAGGACTGGAGTTACTTTGGCTCTAAAGGAGAACTAACAGTTGTGTGACCTTCCAGCACATGACTGTGACTTCACCTTGACTTATGTGTAGTTATAAATGAGTAAAAACAACTTTGTACGTCTAGAAAAATATATGATTGTGCCAAATATCATAAGTGTTAAAAGTTATTTGCAACAGTTAAGAATCAACAAGGAAAGCCCTAATTCCTCAAAGGAAGGCAAATCTACCAGGATATAGCACAGGCAGACCTGAGCACCAGGTAACAGTCAGGTCTTCCACTTCCAACAAAAGCTTTTGACAGCAAACTGATCAAATACTAAACAATACCATTTTCTCAAAGACTCACAGATAATAAATGCCAAATTTGTTTCATAACTGTTACAAAACAAAAATAAATGCAAGACTTTCAATGTGGGAGAGAAGCAAAAGTGTCCTTTTTTTTAAATTAAAAGTTTCAATTGGACATGTAAGAAAAAAAGGAAACTCTATGCTCTTGCTAAAACTCTAATTAAACAAGGGAGATGTAAAGTATAAAGGATTTCTGGAAGTATAAATAAGTGCATGTGAAAAAAGATTTATCTCTTTAAAATATATTTTACTAGGCTCTAAATTGAGCAGTGCAAAGACTGAAAGATGATTTTTTTAAAACTACATACATTAATCCCAGTAAAAAGCTTTTTCCCCTAATGACCTAAGAATTTACTTATTTAGCAAGTCCTTATCACACATTCTTACAAAGACAGCTCTACTACAGGGATATAATTTCTATTTTACACACAAAAAAAATGAGGGAAGAATAGCAAGTAACTTGCCCAAAGGCTGAGAAGAACAGAGTTGTTTCTAAAAGCACAACTCAACCACCATCCCATCACCCTTTTCAGCTGTATCAGAATATGAACACCTAGAAAAGCAAAACTACATTCTATAACTTCATGGAATAAATAATGCAGGTACAGTTACAAACCTCTATTTTGTCTGTTTTGGCATCTCCCCAGTATATTTTGCTTTCTGCATAATCCAGTGCCAACCCATTTGGCCAGCCAAGCGAGGTGTTCACCAGCACAATTCTGTCTGAGCCATCCAATGCTGCCCTCTCAATCTTTGGGATTTCTCCCCAGTCAGTCCAGTACATGTACCTGCAAAGGAAACAAACCTTATTAATCCAAACCTCCAATATTCTTATAGCATCTTCTGGACTACTCTTCCCCAAAACCACATAGCATGCAAAAAGCTACATCCCTAAATTAAAAGTATTTCCTTACCTAGGTAAGAATGCCCAAACCATTCAGAAAGAATTGGCATGCAAACATACAAAATTCCTGTATCAGTCTGCCCAGCAAGACAATATAACCAGTGCTATTAGCTAGAATAAACAAGCTGATTCACGCAGTCCACAAAAAAATTTTTAAAAATCATAAAATATAGACACATAAGGTGACTACCCAGGTGGTCAAAACAGAGCAGCAGTGCTTGTGCCTCAGAGCCTTAACTTTCAGAGATTCCCAGTATTTTCATTTGGAAAGCTCAGAAGTTTATCACTACATAGATAGAGAAACTATGTAGATAGTTTACCACTATCTAGATAGAAGCAGACAGAGGTATCTTCTTTGCATGACAAATATGTTAAAAAACGCTCCCAAACAGCTCCTCACCCAACCATGGGATCCAGCACAATGGCTCTGGGCTCTTCCAGGTCCTCTGATATCAAGATTTTCCTCATGGTGCCGTTGAGCCTGGTGACCTCGATGCGGTCCGTGCCGGTGTCCGTCCAGTAGAGGTTGCGCGCCACCCAGTCCACGGCGATGCCGTCGGGGTGTGCGATCTGCGCCGTCACCACGAACTGGCTGCCCGAGCCATCCAGGAAGGAGCGGCGGATGGCCCTCACTTCGTCGTCTGTCCAGTAGATGTACCCTTCCAGAGGGTCGAAGTCGATGGCGATGGCGTGGCGGATGTCCTCCAGCGGCAGCACGATGTCCGTGAAATCCGGCGTGTCCAAGGAAATGCGCCTCAGGTCCGTCCGGCGGGCCAGGAGCAGCAGCGCGGTGGCACCTGCAGGAACAGGACAAACACCTTGGAAACACTCCTGGAAATAGAGACCTGAGTCTGTTCTTTCCCAACAACATGCTCTAGCTACCTTGATTTCGCAGTGTTAAAAATCTTGGGTTTCTGCGGTTGATATGACCCCCAAGGTATTAGAAAGGTTTTTTTCCCAGCTCCATTACCACTGAAGAAGTTGAGATTTGTTGATTCTGTTTTTCAAGGTTGTTTATTTTTTCTTATCTGTTACATTCCTTCTCTGACCTGCTGAGATCTGTCTGGCAGGTTGGGTTGTGGCACAGTGACTGCCCTTAGGGTGGTGATAACTTTTTATACTACAAACTACGAGTACTTTATTTACAATAATTTCCCAATACCTATCACCTATGTTAGACAATCTGTCTCTACCCTAAACCAATTAGTGTCACCATCCCAGCAGAAGATGGAGGACAAGAAGAAGGGGAAGGACAGAACATGCCCAGATTCCTCCATCTTGCCTCTTGAATCCCCATAATTCTACTTTTCTACCCTGTGACAAATTAACTACCATTCTACTCAAACTCCTGTGGCTTGTAAATCTTCACACAAAGTTGTTAATTGTTTCCATGGGCTAAAATCGAAGGCACAGGCGTTTTTGACTCCGTGCCAGGGTCTCGAATCACCCAGCGCAGCCAGAGGAATGTCCTGGGTCCCGACAGATACAAACTGTTGTAAAATAGTTGATAGATCCTGAAGCATGTACTGTTAGTTTGGTTGTTATATTGTAAAAGGGGTTAAAAGAGTAATACACCTCAGTAGAGTGCACCATCCCCCAGGCGAAAGGAGCCAGCCTGGAGAGAACTGTAATGGGCCAATCAAGGCCTTAAACCTTCATGCAAATGAAGGATCCAAAAAGAAATCAATCCAAAGGGACAAAAACCAGGATAAAAATGGGTTCTGACCACTGAATCTGTGCTGCTCTATGCTCCATCTGGGACTGCTCTGCCCGCGGGCGCCCTTGCTTAGGCCTTTCTTTTTTTTTTATAATAAAAGCTGAAATCACTTTTGTGCCAGGAGCCTGCTCCCGTTTTTATCACCAGGACCTAACCAAACTGCTGGGTATCAGCAGAGAATTCCACTCCAAATGTGAAGCTGCTCACAATGTATCTGGTTATTCTTCAGAACAAGTCAGATGTGTTTACAGAGAAAATTCAGTGGTCCTTTCCTTTCCCAGAATGTATCACGTTGCACTTATTCTCCATCCATATAATTCCCTCCAAATTACTGAAATAGATATGCAGCAACTATGCTGCTATTTTATGCAAATCAACAGATGGCCTGCAACCTCTTAGATGAGAAATTAATTATTTACTGACTGTTTGCTGCTATTGGTGAGAGGACAACCATGACAAACAAGCTCTGTGTTTCAACAACGCCCGATAAATGGAAAAATTGTAACACAGAAAACCATGAGTAAATCTCTTTTGAGAAACTCTTACTGGAGAAGTCAGAGTTGGGAACAGACCACTGTGCAATGACCATGCAGAGCAGGAGGGCTGTCACCTTCTCCCACATTGGCTAAGAACAAGCTTATTGAAGACATAAAGATAGATAACAGTGTCTTATAAAATCATTTTGAGCCAAAGCACACAAAAGCCGTGCTGGCTTTTGGGTCAAAAGTCAGAATAACAATAAATAACTAAGATCAGCTTGCACTGCAGAAGATGTTTTCACATAGGCAACTCAGCATGTTTAATGGTATTATCAATGACAGTTGCCCTCATTGTCTAATCTAGTTCATTTTCATTTAATTTTCTATTCCATGTCCCCAGTTTTCAAGGTAATGAAGGATAAACAAGCACCACACCCCATTCCAATTAAACTGGCTTATCAGTTTGGAGTCTTAGGGAGATAAGAGCAGCTCAGGCCCGAGGGAAGCCTGAGCTAAGGTGAAAAATGCATGTATAATTGCAGGGAAAGTGTGGTGCAATGGCTCTCCTCAGAGTGAGAGGACAGGCTTTGGCAGGGACTGATGGAGGATGAGGGGGAGGGCGGAGAAGGCTTAGGAAAACAACTGCATGAACATGCAGTGAAAATGAGCAATTGCCAAGCCACACTGTGTCCATGTCTTGATTTTGGTGTGTAAGAGGTATAAATAAGAGCTAGAAGACTGAAAGAGCTAAAACTGAAGGAAGCTAGTGATGAAAGAAGAATTTTGGTGCCTTATGCCAATTTTTTTTTTTTTAAAAAGACAGCAATTGATGTCTGTGCTAGCTGAAACCTCACTGCATGCTAAACCTTGGAAAGATGCCAAAGCAGCCACTGCTTCATTTACAGCAAGTTTTAGGTGTTAAAAACCTCTAAGACACTTCCACAGTGCTGCGGGAAACAGAACCTTTCAACAACTGAAGTTGAGGATATTATTACAAGTGTTTCTGATTGGTAGTCCAGAATGGACTAAGATCAGCTTTGGGATCCTCTGCCCTAAAACACCTTGTGTTCAGAAATACATGCACACAGTGCTAAACTGTTCTTCTAGTGAGTAAATCCTATGCATTAATTAATCAGGAGGGGAGAAACCTGCAATTACATGCCTATGTATCCTTCAGAATACTGTAAAGCATGAGACACAGCCAATGGGAAAAGGGCCTGTTAGAGAGGTTTGTGGTTTTTTTTTTTTTTTTTATAATTACAGAAGCAATTAATCTTGACACAGCAGTCTCTATGTATATCTGTATTTGCTGCTACTATGTATAACAAAAAATTCAGCACTTAGATTCAAGCAGACAGGTGCATTATGTTATAGAAAGTCTTAGTACATCACTAATCCCTACAATTTGAGTTCAAGGAAGAAAGAAACCCCTACTACACTTTCTTAGCAACTTCACAGTAATTTATCCAAACTGATTTTTAAATATAATAATGATAAACTTATTAAAAACTTCAAACAATATATTTTTTTGTATTATCAAGTAAACCTAAGGTTGAGCAAATGCCTTAACCTCAGAGTTCAAAATGCATATATATTGTCTACCATATACAGAAATAGTGTAAGGCATAATTTAAAAATAATTTGTGTGTTCTGGCTGAAGTTGAGTCATTTCAAGGAACCAATGCCAGGTTTCCAGAAAGATTCAGTTTAGTATAACCATCCCCTAGCTCAAACTTACCCATAAAATTGACCAATTGACCTTCCCATTCTTCCCAAAGACAACACATTTCAACAGCTTGAGTATCCTGTTTTCAGCCTGCAACCCTGTTGTTTAGTCAAACAACCCATGCGTTTAACTTTAATTCAGCACTGGGAAATGAGTGGCTTTCAGCTACCCCGCGCTGGACTCTGGAACCCCGAGCTAAGAATTTCATGCTCCTTATCTGGCGGCTTTACCAGCATTCCAATCCCTCCATCAAACACCAGCCCTGAGCCCTCCAACCAGGCAATAAAAAGTTGAAAGCTTGCTTCAGAGCTATTACCCAAACATTTGCAAACCAACACCTCGGCTGCTTAGTTAGATCAGCAGCCATTCAGCTCAGGAAAAAGAAACCAGCAGCAGAGAAGCATCACACCTTCAGGCAGGCTGAGGGAAAGATGGCTCTGAATAGCTCCAGGCTTGTCCTGACAATAGCAAGGGCTGGGAGTATTTATGGACTGATCCCATTACCGCCTTGAGAACAGGCAGGGAACAGAACCCCAGGTGGTCTCAGAAGTGTGGTCAACCCCAGCTGTGCAAAGTTTACCTGCCTGGGCACTGATCACCACTCAGAAGATGCTCGAGGTACTCAGGGGTATCAGGACATGACAAAACTAATCAATTTTGTTCACTTCTACTCCAAAGATCAGTTATGAAGCAGAAACTAAGATAACAGCAGGATCTCCAGACCTCTTGCCTTGCCTAAGAAAAATCAAGCCTCTAATGATGAGCATGAGGGAGAGAATATCACGAGTACAGAATCGTATTTCAAAAAAAGACAATACAGGTTGCATGCAAGCATAACTTTATTTTTGGCTTTAAAAAAAATATCAGCACTTATTAGGGGAACTGGAACAAGTCACAAATATATAAAACTCCTCAAACCTCAGCTGGCTCGGATGCTTTCATAGGGCAGATGGAGGCTGCAGCCAGAACTCTGATCTCACACACATATGCAGACCTGAGGCAGTTTTCCCTCTGTTTCTAAACCATTCAACTTGTGGACTAAGCTCAAGATTCTTTTCAGCAGTGCCTCAAGTCACAGGATATTCAAGAGAGTTAACAATTTTTTGAAAGTCAAGTCCCTTACTTGTCTAAATATGGACATATAAGCCTTACTACTCCAGACTCTTAGTTTTGAGAGCTTTAGCCTACTTTTATTAAGCACTTTGAAAGCTGGGATTACAAGCTCACGGACGGTGCATTACATTAGTACTGGAACTAATGCTTGCCTCAAAAATTCACTATTAAAATTCTAAATAATTTAAATCTGTGTGCTAGCTGAAGTCAAGAGAAGGGGGAGAAAGGGGAATCAGAGCAAGCACGAAGATACATGCAATGGCACAGCTTTAAGTCCAATGCCCTTCTAACCTTTATAATTAATTACATCTTCTCAGTGATATACAGGCCTCAGTCATTTGTAAGTTATTGAACTTTAAAACCATCAGTGGTTGCTGAGCTACACAGACACATGCTCAGGAATGCATACAAAAGAAATGCTAGACCTAAGACATGTATAATACATTCCCTGTATCTGAGAAATCACGATTTTTAATACATCCCAAATAAAATTGCTTCACATTTGACCAAAACATTTAATTCCTAGATTTCTCCCCTAGTTTCACAATAGTGACTAGTTTTGAATTCACTATTGTGAAAGAGTCCCTGATACAACAATACAAACTAGAGTCTTTCATGTAAGCTCAATCTTAAAACTACAAAGGCAACAGAACATGCATCTGCAATTAATTATATATTTCTTCTTTCCTCTAAAAGAAATTAAAGAATGAAGGTGTGAAACTAACATCTTGATCTGTGCTGACAAATTGGGATCCTGGCTATTCCTGACAAAGCAAATTAGGCAGTGGACTGTCCTAGACTGCAGAAGGAAGTGCAAAATTCTGCTTCCTGCCTCCAGGCCTGCCAGGAAAATAGAACGTGAGTATCTATGGGGAAAAATAAAGATTCTTTCCCTGGAAGAGATCAGAATGGCCAAAGCAAGGCTGAAACTGAAGTGTGCAGCATTGCTTTTTCTTTGTGAGGCAACTCACACCTCCTTGCTCAGCTGAAGTCACCACTGGTTTTCTCAGTTTAAACCACATTTCACTGTTGGCAGAAGCAACTGCAGGACACAAATCAAACTCATTACGGGCAAAGACAGAAGCTGAGCACATGGACAGAGAGATCTTCAAGCACTAGTAAGAATCTAACTCCAATGACAAACTCATTTATATAGGAAAATTCAGGTTTGTCTTACAACTATCAAAAGATCATTTGAATGTAGCACTGCCAAACTCAGAACAGCAGAACACACAATACTGAAAAAGAAACTGCAGTATGTTGTGCAGAAGAACAATACATTACCAAGAATATGACACAAGGTGGTAAAAGCTCTCTGGCAGAAGCCCCAAGTCCTGTCTGGGTGCTCAGAAAGGACTCTTTGCTTCACATGTTACTGAGAGAGGACTATCTGGCCATGAAATAACTTACTTGGCTCTCTTTTGTTTGAGGGACAGGGATTTACAAACTTTCACCTAGGGAATGGGGGAGCTAAAACCTCACTAGAAGCCCACATCTCAGTATCCTTCACTGTTTTGATTTGTGTTATCAGGTATTAGAAAAATAGTTAGTTTTATTCTAAGGTATCACCCCCCTTCCTGAAACACTGTGGAGAAATCTTGCAAAATTGGAATGCGTGTGTGTTATTGTATTCACAGATCTTACCAGAAATAGTAAAACTCTTCGAAGGTATGATTAAAAAACCCCTATAAAAATAGAGAAACTAGCAGTGGGAGAAAGGCAAGGGAGGAAAAGATTTCCTATAAACCAAGATTATTCAAAAACGCTAGGTTGTCATGGAAACTGCTCAGGGAGGGTCAGCCAGCCTCACCTTTGGCTGCCAGCATCATCTGTCAATGCCAAAGCACTGCAAACACCACAAACACACACTCAAAATTCACCCATCAGAATCTCTCCAGCACAGCCCAGTATTTTCCACAGCACAGCATGAAATAAAGCTCTCTCCTCAGAGAGGCTCATTTCACCATGAAACAATTTGGTTTAGGAACCAGGTTGATTTTTGTCTACTCCTAGAAGACAAAACCATCTTAAAGAAGAGAAACTCAGCCTAATTTTTCACCTTTCTTCACTTCTCAGTCACCAGTCACACCCATGGTCATGTACACATTCTAATTGCAAATGGGGATTTAATCAGCACTGCAGCATTACAGATGTGCACTGAAACTATCTGAAACAAAAATATTCAGTTCTCAGGGTTCTACTCTAATTTCACAGCAGATATAGAGAACAGGCAAGTACAAGGGGAAAAAACCAGCCCAAGAAATTAGAAACAATCCCCCACCACTGCACACCTGAAAATGAGAAAACAAATTTACGTCCCAGGGGTCCGGAGGAGCCTAAGAGAGGAAATCCCCACAGAGACAAGTCCAGATTTACATCCTGAACTCTGATCTATGGCTACTCTGGCTCTGTTCAAGTGCCATGCTCTCCTCCCTCCCCCAAATCAATAACTGCAGCCTTTGCACCTACAGGAAGGAGTTCCAGGGGATCTGTGCCTGGAAAAGCTCTGGAAAGTTGTAGGTCACTCACAAAAGCCCTAAGTGTGCTTAGGGATCTGCACTTCCCTTCAGGGAGAGAGGAGTGAAAAAAAAAAATCACTGTTTGGGGCATGCTCAGCTCTAAATGCTGAACTTCTTGCATGAGTATGTCAGAAATTAGCCCTGCACAGGATCAAAGCTGCACAAAACCAGTGGACCTGATGAATAATTTGAGTGGGTTGTTTCATCTGGGTTATGTGCTGTCTCCTTTCTAAGACCAAGTTAAATAAACAGTCTCAATTTTCTCCTCTCTTCCCACTCCTTTTTTTTTCCTGAAAAGGCAGAGGCAGAATGTGCCCAAAAGATAAAGCAGCAGAATGGTTTAAAATGCAACATGATATTGACAAGCAGAAGAGAAATGTTCCTGAATAAAGTTTTTTGCATACAACTGGACAAAATACTGTAGCAACTTGGTGATCAATATTTCTAATACAGTGGGGGCTTATAGTCTGTAAATTAAATACATGTAATGGCTGACTGGAAACAGAAAATTTGGCTTCTCAGGTTCAGGGAGTGGGAGAAAAGAGCAACAGTTATAAATTTTGAGACATAAGAAATGGCTAAAAAAGGGAAATGATGATTCTGAATATATCTGCATGAAAAATCCTTTTAATAAGGTTCTGGGGTGGATTTTTAATACCATTCTTCTACTTACCCTTGGTAATTTACTTTGATACACTGCAATTTATCTGTGCATATCAAGTATTTTTGAAAAAGCACATGGATTTGTGTCACATTCTGACTGCATACAACCGACCCAGAGCAGTATTATTAAAGCTTCTCTTTACACCAAGGGAAATGGAAGAAAAACATCTTGTTTGTGTATTGGGAAATTCTTATAAACAATCCTGCCAGGCTAAATTGGGAGCTGCTTTTCACATAAAAGCAGCAATTTATTTTAACAAGGTTCACAGAGACACTCAAAAATAATCAGCAGAGAGCATGAAATAGCATGAAATTAAAGAAAACTCTGAACATAGCTGACAAACCTGAAATAATTTTTGAAATATAAAACTCCAATTAAAAAAATATTTCTGTATCCATTTCATTTGGCTTATTTACACTAAGCTCTGCTGTATCATTTCTTCTTCTATTTACTTCTGTCCTAGGGAGATGATCTGCATGAAAGATGGTTATTTATGATCCAGCTAATTATCTCCCAGTGTTAATTTTGAGCCTGTTAGTGTACTATAGCAACCACAACACAACATCACAAGATCTACACTTACAAATATAACAATTTAAAATCATGTACATTAGCCCACAATGAGAAACTAAAAGCAGTGTTTGGTCAGAGCTTGCAGCTCTAAATCTTGATCATGTCTTGAGTTTTAGGGCTTTTGGCATCTCTAAAAACATGTCATTATTTTCAGAGAGAGATGTCAGGTATGTGTATAATAAATGGAAACCAGACTTAAAAAAAAAAAATTTAAAAGGAGCTGTTGTACAATCTAATTAGCCAAATACTTCAGGATCTATACCAGAAATATTTAAGAGACAACAGACGATGTAGGTATCTTTTTCTCTAAGAAAAAGCAACAACAGAGCCCCCCCAAAACTTGCAGGGAGTTAGTGACAGAGATAGAACTGCAACTTAAATTTGGTAACTGGAGGTAACCTGCCCTTCAATCACGAGAATTCTTCCTTTTTGCAATGTAAAAGGCATTTTCCAATCCCTTTTATCTGTACTGCAAAAGCACACAGTTTCAGAATTTGCCACCCCTAACAGGCATCATTCATAGAGTGCAGCTGGAAGAACCCCTTCCCTCCAAAAGCTACTTTGTGCTTAATCTAAAGGATTTTTTAAAAACAAAGCCTACCATCTTTGCAGGTCTTTCCATTCTCAAGAAGTTTCACACCAGTGGGACATGCACACTGATAAGAGGGCTTGGTAGGAGACATCAAACACAAGTGGGAGCAGCCACCATTATTAGTTCCACATGGGTTCGTAGCTGTTAAACATAAATCACACAGATTAATGCTTCTGATAATGAATGACCTCATATCATGTGTTAAGACACAAACTGCATTTGAGTGGTAGAATCAGTGGCAGCAACACAGATTAAAGGAGGAAATGATAAACACAGAACAAGTAAAAATTACTTCCAAGTGTTGAGTAGTGGGGTACTTATGGTACCAAAATGCACTGATGTTGAATGTTTCCCTACTTGGGAAAGCAGCACTTGGCTCTAAACAAGAACTTTGTTTCAGCTCTTCTCTTATCATTTTTACAAACTCTTCAGCATAATGGTGCTGAATGTGTATATATATATATATATTTAAAAAAGCAAATACAGTAAATTAACACAATGGTTAAGACAGTGGTTACTACACTACTACACTAATATAGATACTTTATATATACTATATATATTTATATATACTATACTAAGGCAGTGGTTACTACACTACTACACTAGTCCTGCTTAATATCATCTGCCAAATTAACACTACTTTCCACTCAGGAACTACCTCTTAGAAAAATAAAAATATTGCATTGCCTGAAGTTATGGTACAGGAAACAGAAAAATATGACAAGAGCATAAATGTGTTGGGCAGAAAAAAAAAAAAAAAGAAATGAGGGGGTTTTCTTGCACTTAAAAATCCCTGCAAAAATGCAGAGAATATCTGGTTTCCTTTTGGATCTTTTACTATTCTCTACACTGGAAAAATTGCATCATGACGTGGTTGAAGCCACCCAGCACCATCCAGAAAGACTAATTAAAGATTTTCGCAAATCAGTTCCAGATTGCAATTAAAAAAAGGACAGCAAGACAGCTTACCATTTGGCTGCCTCTTCTGGCTGAAGGCATGGATATCCATGGGGGAGAAGATGTTGGAGTGGATCTCACGCAGGTCCTCCCCGGAGTACTTGCTGCAGGCCAGGATGGAATGTGTGTTCCAGTCCGTCCAGTACAACGTGTCCCCAAACAGTGTCAGAGCAAAGGGATGTGGAAGGGAGCCTTTAACCACTGCTTGCCTAATAGAGCACAGGAGAAAATGAATGTTCAAACACAATTCATGAGACAGTTTTGTCCGAACACAGCTTCTGTGAAAAGAAGTTTGGGTATTGTTGATCAGACCTTTGTGTTTGTTTATTTCTGGGAAACAAATATACTGCCCCTGCTTTGGGGAATGATAGGAAGGAACAGCACAGGAATAGTATTTTCAGGCTGCCTACTGGTGCTGAGAAGCCCAAGAGATGCTACCTGAAATCCTTACTGAGCTTACTGAGATCTGTTGGTCCTTTTTATCCCTTGAACAGCCCATGCCTGAAGGGCTCTCTGCCACCACATGAACCCCAGCTGATTTGATGCAAGTCTGACTGCTACCTGCTGATACACCACGTCCACCAATTCCAGCCTCAGCAGATTTCACACTGAGACAAAATGGTCAATTAGCCATCCATCCATCTCTTCCAGCTCCTCTTTTCAACCATCAAAAAAATACTGTAAAGTCGTTTTTCACTCTAAAGAAATCCTTAAAGTTACTTCCATTATTATGAAAATTATTAAGCTATTGTTTTCACTATAAGCAGTGCCATTCAACAGAGTTCTAGTGATTTTATGCCATGGTAATGATATAATTTCTAGCAAACTGGGTCACTGCCTCTCTCCAGGTTCACAAACAAAATTAAAGCATATACTCATATATTTTATGTATATATACAAAGACATGCTCATTAGCCATCACAAAAATGCAGCACAAACATTACTGAAGACAGTTTTTCCAGGTTCTTGTGATGCAGAAACTAATTATCTGTACCTAAGATCCTCAGAACTGGAATTAAGTAGCTCAAGTCTTATTTTTATTTTATTCAGAATCACAGAAAAGTTTAAGATGGAGAGGACTCCAGAGGTCATCTGGACCAACACAAAGCATGGTCACCACACAAGTACCACTTACAGGAGTGCTTCTTCCCTCCTCCTTTCTTCTGAACTGCCTAAGTGGAAGTGTGTTCCCACCTAGGCAAGGTCCTTCTGAACAGTGGGGATCACCATCCCTTTCCTGGAATGTATGTATAATCATCCATGCATTTACTGAGAAAATGGCATGACTTCTGGAAATAAGTCTAACTGAAGTGGTTTAACAGATGACAAAAATCTCTTATTTTCCAAATATTTGCTGTTAAAAGGTAACAGAAGAGTATATTAAAGCAAGAAGATTGAAGGTGTCCTCTGAATACAAAGAAACTATAGTCATTACTGTCCTTTCACCTTAGCTTCTGGAAAAAGATGCATTATCTTTAAAGCTTTTATTTTTTTCCTATAGATTCCCTTGCTTATCACTCTAGTGTTCCAATTCTACATGAAATTAAATCTTCTATTTCTTGGTATTTTGCACTCAAAAGTAGGACATAGTATCTTTTCTTTCTTATCTCTGTCTGAAGTCAGGTATATATTTGCTTCTAATTAAATGCACCAACTAAGCATCTTACAAAAGACCATTGTAACATAATTTAAAGCTGAAACCTGCCAGCCAAACAGTGAAGCCAGAATGACATAACACATTCTGGTACCATACACAAGTATAAAGGCATTCTAAATCTGCAAACAGTTTAGCCAACCCTACCCCCAAACCCTGAATATCTTCAGATTTGAATTTTAGAGTTTAGATTTGAATTTTGAAGTTTAGAGCAGGCTAGAGACTGTGTCTTTATGTATGACATACTGTAGGACATTTGACAAATGACACCTACAACATTTTGTCATATGAAACAGAAGCAATCAAAGACCAAAATTCTCACTATAACCAAACCTGCAACAAAGACAGCATTCCCATAATAAGAGAAGCCATATTTTTATGAAGCATTCTGACTAGCTAACTTTAAAACAAAACTGATCAACCAAAACAAAAAAAAAAAAAAAAACAAAACACCAAAAAACACAACAAACCCCCCCAAAAAACCACGAAAACAGACACACACAAAAAAAACCAAAACACCACAGAGAGGAATTTTACATGTGATTTGTACCCACCAGTAGTGGGAATAAATCTTTGAGTACAATAGCTGCTGTTAGACATACCTAACTTTCAGACAACCCTCTATTCATATGACAATGCATCAGGTGAACTGTGACCCTTATTCAAACCAGCCCTTATCTGGAGAGATTCAGAATCCTTTCATTTGACTGTGCTGTCAGTCACAGCCTTGAAGCAATTACTGCTCAACTTGTATTATTTTTCTCAGCAGATATAAGGTTGCAATGCAGGAAGATGGCTTTGGGTCCAAACACAAGCGTGTATTTCTTGCATCTCATTAAGATCAGTATTTACCAGTAAGATGTACTCTGTAATCTTTGTTTCCAGCAAGCCAGTACAAGGTGATAGCTCACTTCCAACCAGCAAAACCAGCAGGGCTTTTTCCCAGGGTTTGAGTTGAGCTCAATGAGTGTCCACCCCCTAATGAGGAGTGGGAAGAAGGGACTGGAGAGCCCAGCTATTAGAAAACAGGAAAAGGAAGAAGAGAGGGAGCAAGAAATGACCTTCTGATGGCTGCTGTGAGCAGCTGTGCTTTAGCACAACCTGCACTAGGAACTGCAGCGCTCTCTCTGCTTTTGGTGAGCAAGATGAGGGGTTCTAACTTCTGCCTAAACCAATTATTTATTAAACACATCCAAGTGGATGAAGGTGGCCAGTGTCACCTGTAGCACTCAGCTGCTGCACAGCGCTGATGGGAGCTTGTAAGAGCTGAAATGAGGGATGCAGGACTCCAGGAAGCTCTGCAAAAAGCAGTTTATTGTATCCAAGAGGTTACAGCAGTCAAGGGTCATGGGTGACAGAGCTGTGCCCACAGCTGTCAGCTCCAGCTGCAGGCAGGCCTGGAGACCCTTTGGTTTAGGTTACATTGCATTCTATACTTTTCTTTGCTGAGCATCCTAATACAGTAGAACCAATCTATACATTAACTTTTATCTATAGCCTATCATAACTGCTATAGTTACCATATTCACATTACTGTTCTCCAATCACTAAAACTCAGTACATTACAGTTTAAGCTAGAAGTTGTTATTCAGTTTTCTTGCAGTGGAAAATTCTGAGACTTTTTTCCTACTTGCAACATCTGCTAGGTATTGTTCACCTGTGCTATCTTTCTGCTTGGTAAAAACATCTTGTTTGGGGTGGATTTATCCTTTGCTCTAAGCCATAAAAACCCCTTCTAACTAACACACCCTTTGCCTCCTTGGTTATCCAGTAAGACTGGCTCAGCAATTCTTTTCTTCTATATCAAAACTTGCTTCCATCTCTATTCCTTCTTCAGATTCTACATTCAAAAATCTTTCTGCTAAGCACACATATCTGTGAGACTTTCTTGTCAAATTTTCATCCTTCCCAACAGGAGAAGGTGCCTCCCACCTCCAGGGTGGTTCACAAGCACCCACACAGGGTTGGGGAGCAGAGAGGTCTCCCCATTCCTGGCCCTGATGGGTTCCAGGTACAGCTCTGCAGGGGCAGTTGGGCTGGCTTCACTGCAACAAGTGACAGCAAAAGGCTCTCCACCTATTATCCTTCATCAAGCTCCTTGGATCCCTCAGACTGCTGCACTTGTATCATTAGTCTCGTTTAAAAGAGACACCAGAGACAATGGGAAAGTGGGAGCTGGGGGTAAGGAGTAATGGCATTCATTCAGGAGACATCTCCAGGGCCTCAGCAAGATGCAAATTGGATCTAAATTAGATGGAACCAAGCACACACATACTTTAATAATCTCTGCACCAGGCATATAATCACATAAATTTGCTTTAAAAATCTGTATGGTGATTGACATTTAAAAGGCCAACATCTCTGTTGAGTTGGCTGGGAAGGAAATGTCTAGAGGGACAGCAGAGAAGGAAGGTGAGGAGAGAGAGAGAGAGAAAAGAAGCACTTTCCACATAAATTAAATTCACTGTGTTGAATATCATGATTTCCCAAATACAACTATTTATCATCACAGTAATCAGAGATGCCATTACAATAAATATTTGCTATGGTAGAGTTTTCTACTGTCTGGAGAAAATATAGATTTGATTTAAATATATTCACCTTTGTTCTATTTTTATTCTGTAAGGAGTCCTGTGAAACACTTGGAGAAGATAAAGGAAACAAACAATAAACAAGTTAAAGTGGGAATTACAAAAGGAGCTCGGAAAGTGACAAGTGGAAATCTTAGCAAGTGGCCAAAGCACTCAGAGCATGAATTAGATGAAGCAGGATGAAAGATGAAGATGCACCCATAAAATATCACACCAGGGATGCCACAGAGAGGGCAGGGAGCTCTGGTTCCCTCAGCTCCCAGAATCTCCTCTCCTGCCAACCTGACAAAAACATTTGCAACACAAACTCAGAAAAGTAATGCATTTTTATGTATTTTTATCGTGGATGCTTGTCCAAATATTCCTATCAGAAGACAAGCATACTTTTAATTAAAAAGTAAGCAAGAAACATGATTTGTGGGATATAATGCTCTCCTTTCAGACTGAAGTGTTTTTGCCTTTTGCCACTTCTTTAAACCACAATTGCCATGTGTTTCCAGAAAGAATATATAACAGAAAGATTATTTCAAGTATGACATTTCAAATCCCATCTGCAATGAAAGTCTGAAAAAGTCAATCAGAAATCAAATTATAGTTGACAAATGAGGTGATTCTGTGGGTCATTTTTCAGGCAAACAGAGGTTTTGACGCTCCAATTTTCAGCATTTTTGTTTCCAGAAGTACCTTGGGGAAGAACCAAGAAATTCAACCTAGCTTTATGTCCAAATAATCTAATTAATTCTGTTTACGCAGGATTCTTTAGCAGTTTTAATTAGGGTATTATTTGGCTTCTGCACTGGTCTGTGTTGGTGAGGTATTGAAAGAGGCTTCTCACCACTGACTGGTTCTTCATTGCTTGAAGGTGTTAAGCAATTTCATCACCCAGAAATACACAGAAAGATATAAACAGAACATGAGATTTTATACCTTGTACATAATGTCATGTACTGTTCGTGTTATAGGC